ATGTTGACTTACTAATGACAATGTGTGGGGGCTCTGTCACAGAGCACTTGTTTCTGAGGTGGTTTTGCTGCTGCTGGGGTAGTGTCGCGTGCCGGGCCGCATCAGGATCAGGTGCATCGGGTACAAATATTTGCATTCCAGTAGACGTAGGATGTAGAAGACACAGGACTTTGCACACGGATGCACTTGGCTCCTTGCAGTATTGCTACTGGTTCTTGCATAGGACACGAGAATTCTGATCAAATCTATTTCCTGTAATTCCCAGCAGAATAAAAAATGTGTGGTGTGTTTATAGTTGCGGTCACTGCGTTACGGAGTATATTCCTAACAGAAGGGATCTTCTGTCCTGATTAGGCATTGGTAAGAATTGAATCCACTTACATCTCACACCTCTGGTAACCGGGAGCATTTTCCACCAGCTACCTTCTGGCTTCGTGGGTTTCAAACCTTGCTTCTCCCCAACTTCTCACACACTTCTGTTGCCAAGTGCCCTGGGGCCCATTCACATCCCTGAAACCTCTGGCCCCACACCCTTGGCTACACAGAGAAGCCACTGAGCCACGTCCACAATAGCCCACTACACCTAAACTAACTGTAGCCATCCGACAGGAGAAGTGGAAATGGAACAGAAAGAGACCGTGGTCTTAGCCATTTGCGGTGAAATAGCTGAATTTTTCAGAATTTACAAAAACATGAGCACATTGCTAGGACCTGCCAAGGGGCCCAGGCTGGTGAGGGACCCTCCATGGCAGTTCCAACTCCACTTAGTTTCACCCCCCCCCATGATGGTAGCTGCTCTCCAAACCACACCAGCCCCCCCTCCCACGCCCACATCTGGCCCACAGGACTTCCCCTTCGACCGCCTCCCCTTGTCTCCACTGTTCTTCCCCACAAGTACTTTTGCGTCCTTCCCCGTACGGCCGTGGCACCTGCCCGTTGCCCTGGTGAGGCCTCCAAGAGCCCAGCCAGCAACACAGCAGCTGTGGTGAAGACTCTGAACAGTCACCCATTAATCATTTTGTTACCATTGCATTATTTGGAGTCAGATGTTGTCTCTTTTTTACTTATGCCCATTATCCCGTCCTCCGTATTTCAGATGAGAGCCCTTCAGGTCAGGCCCACCTGTCTCATCAGCCTCTCTGGGCTCAGCATCCCAGGTTTGTTGACAGCGGCCTCTGTCATTGCTGCTCAAAGTGCCGATCCGCAAGGAGGCGAGTTTGCACGGGAATGGGAGTCTTCTGCATCACAGTGCACGCTGTCAAGGTCAGCTGACTGTTCTGGTAGCAAGCTTTCCCAGTGAAGAGGCAGAGCGTTGATCACGTCCTGGGGCGAGCCGTCGGGCAGCAGTTTGAAAATTAGCCACCAGCCCACAGATCATACTTTGAGGGCCACTGTCTTTGATGACATGACTTGGGGTCTTAGGAGGTTTGTAAATATCCTCTTGTTTCCCTGCCTGGACTCAGAACTGCTTGAGAGAGGTAGGAGTTGGACAGGTGGAGATTAAGCTAATAGCTTTATTACTGAAAAGCTGATTAGAAAGGGCTGTGCATCTGTGGCCAAAGGGACTTTCCTTTGAATTCATCTCACTCACCCTGGGGTGGGCCCCTCCTTAGGGCGGGATGCCTGCTCTGCAGGAGGGCAGTCAGAAGAGGATTGGTTTGAGTGTGCTCCATCCACCTCCCAGACATCACCCATCATTTCCTCTGGGAGAGGAGGAAAGGGGGCAAGGTGGGATGAGAGGCCAGAAGTGTTAGGTCGGCAGTGGTCACAGGTCCTTAACCTGGAGTCCATGGCTTTAGAGGGTGTCTGGAGTCCCTGAGATTGAATGGGGTGTGTGTGTGTGATTTTTCTAGAGAGTCTGCAGCAGATGTTGTGGGTCCTCGGCCAGATCCCTTTAACCCACCCCCAGGCGCTGCTGTGAGTGTTCCTACCCACTTCTTTGATGAATCCTCCTTGGCCTACAGGGAGCTCCTGGCCAGAGAGACTATACCTGCCCCCCACCAGGGGAAATTGACTGACTTGGGGTACAGAGGCCACCCCTTGCCTCCAGGTAGGAACAGCTCTAGTGCAATGCAGGGTCCAGGGCAGCTCAGGAGATCAGGCAGAAGCTAGTCCTCCCTGAGGCCACTTCTTGCTCAGCTTTTGCCTCCTGCCCTAGCTTGCTTTCCTCACTCCCCTTCTCCTTGGAGCGCTCCCTCCATAAATTACGTATACAGGAACCCTTGTCTCAGCCTTGGCTTCCAGCAGTGACGGGGTTCACAGTCCTTGGCTCTCCTCAGATTCTGCAAGTGGTTTATGATCCCATTGTGGGTTGAATCCTGGCCCCAAAAGAGGTATGTCCACATCCGAATCCCTGAAACCTATGAGTGTCACCTGATTTGGGAAAAGGGTCTTTGCAGATGTAATGAAGGATCTTGAGATGAGATAATCCTGGATTAGCCAGGTGGGCCCTCAATCCAGTGACAAGTGTCCTTAAAGAGACACACACAGCGGAGGTGGCCCCATGAGGACAGAGGCAGGGGCTGGAGTGGGAGCAGGTGACCACAAGCCAAGGAAGGCCTGGAGCCAGCAGAAGCTGCAAGAGGCCGGGAAGGATCCTCCCGTAGAGTCTGTGCAGGGATCACGGTCCTGCCGCACCTTGATGCCTGACTCTGGCCTCCAGGACTGTGAGAGAAGAAATGTCTTGTTTTAAGCCCCCCCCCCCCCGCCCCCGGTTGTGATCATTTGTCTCGGCAACCACAGGACCTGAATACCTCCAAAAGGTTAAAAATTCCCTCTAGTTGTCGAAGCTGCAGTCCTGCCACGTGGAAGTATGAGTGTGTGCCCGGGCCGGTGGCCCCCTGCCCCCACCCGCATCACTGGCATGTCCAGCTTCCCATCCCCAGGCCCTTACAGGGCCGAGCTTGCCAGGAGCCTGTGTGCTGCTGACATGAGGTGCATGGTGGCCGCTCTTCCGTCTATGACAGGGAGTGTAGGGGACTTCTCAGGGCTGTGCTCACTGCCTTGGTCCACCCCCTCGTTCTTGCTCCGAGAGATACCGGAAAGGCCGATTTTGTTTTCCTTAGGGTTTCCGGCAAACCACAGCATGGTCTTCCTGACGGTATTTTTCAGGATTGTGTCGTGTTCCAGGATTCATCTATGATGATGCTTTCCTTCCTCTACATTTTATCCATCCTCTCAAGAAATTAGCTCAACAGAGAGCTCATGCTAGCACACTGGACTCCTCTGTTCCTTCCCTCTTTTTATCTCCATCATGATTATTCATGATTGTATAATCAGGATTTCTCCTTAGAAGCTCCTTACTTGATATTAGCTGACAGAACAAAAGGTTCTTCATTAAATGGTGACTCTTTTCTGCTCACTGAAAGTCAAAAGCTAATGAAGTACTTTGATCAAAATGAATTTTGATATCCATTCTATGAAAATAGCAAAAAAACTTCCAGGAGCAATCAAATGGCTGTGTGGACCGATGCTTTCAGAGGTCCGGAACCATCGATCAGGAGGTCTGTTTCTGAACAAGGAACTGGAAAAGCCAGAGCTGCTCACGCCAGAGCACAGATGGGAAGTAAATGCCTTCTAGGGGCTCCTGGTTCACAGGAGTGCCCCCCCCCGACCCTTGCAGCAGCTTTCTCATTGTCTCCCTGTGCCCAGGTTTGTGATCCCCAAATCCCAGTTCCACCAGCCTCCATGATCTACCTACAGCACAGATTTCCATGTGGCCTTCCCTGCTCCCCACTGTCTCCTGTAGGATAGAGACCACGCTCCCCACACGCAGTCCCAGGCCCTCCAGATGGGCCCTGCCTTCCCACAGAGTGTGCCCCCACCCCACTGCCTCTCACCTTTATACCTCTGCACGTGCAGTCCCCTCCTCTGGCGTGCCCTTCCTCTGCCCTGACCAGATCTCCCTGACCACTCAGCGCCAGTGTCACGGCCATTGGGAAGCCTTCTGGCCCTCACTGTGCTCCCATAACACCCTGAGCCTATTTTTGTCATGCCGCTTACATCAGAGTATACAATGATCTATTCTTGTGTCTGTCTCCCCAGCACTGAGTTCCCAGGGCAGGAAGTGCATCTTGTAGATCTTTGAGTCCCCAGATCTAGATCAGTGTGTGTCAAATGAAGGATGAATGAAATCTCTTGCCTCCTAGGAGGAGTATCAGGGGCTCAGTCTCACCACCCTGAGATCATGACCTGAGCTGAAATCAAGAGTTGGATGCTTAACCAACTGAGCCACCCAAGCGCCCCCATATTCTGTATTCTTTCATTTACCCTGTAAATTATCTTGGAACGTTTGATACTTATGTTCTGTTTTAGTTTTTTTTAGATTTTATTTATATGACAGACAAGTGAGCACAAGCAGGGGGGGCAGCAGGCTGAGGGAGAGGGAGAAGCAGGCTCCCCACTGAGCAGGGTGCCCGCTGCGGGGCTCCATCCCAGGACCCTGGAATTATGACCTGAGCCAAAGGCAGACGCTTAACCAACTGAGCCACCCAGGCACCCCTACTTATGTTTATTTTATCCAGAATAAAAAGAAACTAGAAATGTCTATAATAAAAAAATCTAGGGCACCTGGAATCCCTGGATCAAGTCCCGCATTGGGCTTCCTGCTCGGCGGGGAGTCTGCTTCTCCCTCTGACCCTAACCCTTCTCATGTGCTCTCTCTCATTCTCTCTCTCTCAAATAAATAAATAAATAAAATATTTTTAAAAAATTTAACTTTTTCATTATTTTTATACATCCACTAAGTTCTAAAAATTATTTGAGGCAAGTTATAATAGAAGAAAAAATATCAAACCATGAAACCCCCACCAGCAGAGACTTCTGTCCTGTTGCCCAGGACCAGGTCATGTGGCCCCCTAACGGCTGAGAGTTGGGGAAGCTCAGCTTCCCCAAGGGGAGAGGCTGTTGGAAATGACTGAACAGACAGCCAAGAGTGTCTGCCACTGAATGTAAATAGCATCTACAAGTCATTAATCAGATTCCTTTCTTGTTCACCCCAGGAGTCCTGCCTCACTAACAAATAAGGTTCCATCTCTTCAATTTGTAAGGCACTCTGAGCGCTTCCTAAGAAAGCAAATTCATTATTTTTTCGAGATCCTCCCCACGCCCACCCAACACCGAACTCCTGGGAACGCTGGTGCGTCTTTCAAAGTTCCTTTGGTTGCCAAAAACAGGAACCTAGCTCCCAGTAGTGTAAACGCAATGGGCTTGTGGCCTCCCAGCGCCGAGCTATGGGAGACACGGGCTGGAGCGTGGCTTCCCTGCCTGCATCTTGAAAGCTTCTCACTGTTTCTCATCTCCGACTCTCCCTGGTGGCTTCAGTATAACGTTGGATATGAGAAGGAGAAATAAGCTCTTCCCACCAATTCCAGTGAGAAAACACCCGGGGAAGGGCTGTGATTGGTGCGACTGCAGTCTGATCCTGTCCCAAACCAGTCACCACAGCCGGGCGCCCACCCTGCGGAACTAAGCTGGGCCACTCCGCCAGAGTCCCAGGCTCAGTGGGTCAGGAGCACGGCCCCGTGAGCAAAGGAGAAGGAACGCGCGCTGAGCTGAGCAGACAGTGGCCGTCCACCACGCTGATCAGTGACCCGGTCCTCCCGGCCACCCCTGCTGAGACTCGGACAGCCTGTGCAGGGCAGGAGGGCCCCACTCCCCGAAGCTGTTGCAGAAGCGACACAGCGTCCTGCAGACCAGGACAGTTCAAGGCTGCTCAAGTGGGACTCTGTCCTCACAGCTCCCTGTGAGCAGCGATTCCTCAGGCTGTGGCAAAGGCACAGTCCACCCAGGCCATGCTCACACCCCACTCAGTCTCCTTGGGGTTCCAACAAACTGCTCTGTGGCCCTGGGCGCTTCATCCTTTTCCGGGGTGTGTCCAAGAGCCAGCCACTGCCCAGGATTCCTGCCTCGCCTCCTCTCCCCAGGGCAGAGGCCCCCCCTTCCTCCTGGTCCCAAGCTCAGCTCCATTTCCTAATCCAGGGGGCTTTTCATTCCTTTTGGGAAAACCCCACTTTGTTATATTGGCTTGTTCATGGGACAGTTTCCTTCATAATGAAGCATCAGCCCCTCCTAAGGGGCTCTTTGTAGTGGTGCTGCTTCTGAGACCAAGCCAAGGGTGGCCCATTAACAACTCAAAATCCAATGGCTCAGTCGGTGAAGCATCTGCCTTTGGCTCAGGTGATGATTCCAGGGTCCTGGGATTGAGCCCCTGCTCAGCGGGGAGCCTGCTTCTCCCTCTCCCTCTGCCTGCCGCTCCCCCTGCTTGTGCTCGCTCTCTGTCTCTGTCAAATACATAAATAAAATCTTTAAAAAAAAAAAAAATCCACTGCCACTTCTTGAGCACTTACTATGTACAAGGCATCTCCCCTCCTTCATCTAATTTAACCCCCCAAATACTCGCAGGAAGTAGGTATAATCAGTCCCGTGTGACTGATAGGAGAAACTCTCACAAGGCAAGTGTGTGACAGAGCCTGAATGTGAACATGGTTTTTGATCCCAGGGCCCCTGAATACAGAGTATAGAAGTCTCTGATCTGCAGGGGATGAAGTCACGGAAGCACTTGGCTCACTGAGGTCTACACACACACACAGCTGTTTAGTGCAGGAATCGCACCCACCACGTGTGCATACATCCTGGGCACCATCAGCCATGGCCTCATGGGATTCCAAGAGCAAAGAGCCTTCGGCCCCTAAAATCAAGTTAGCCCCACCGCCCTCCCTGCTCAGAGAGGCACCGACGCCCATTCCAGGCTGAAGGAAAATCTGGCATGGGGCCACAGAGAGGCAGCCTGTCTGGCCCAGTGAGGTGCCTTCCTAAGGGACTTTCAAGGGGGATTGCCCAGAGCCATGAACTTCTGAACCCAACCAGAACCTTACACCCTTCAGGGCAGCTTGCCTCCATCATCAGCATGGAGCTGTGATGGGGCCTGGGAAAATACGCAACAAGTTCCGGTTCCAGCTGCGGGCCTTCTAGCCCAGACCAAGAGAGAGTGCCCGACCCACGGCGGAAGTGCCACCTTCCTTGGTAACTCAGGCGATGCTGATGAGCCCAACAGCATCCTCGAAGTCACCCTTAAGACCTGTGTTCGAATGCCCAAGTAGGAAGAGAACATGCTATGTATTTTAATCCGCTGGACCATTCCCGAGAAAGTTGAAGGAAGCCAGGGTGTGCCCTGCTGGGTCAGGTCTGCGCTCATCCTGTACCCCTAACAGGGCCTGGCACGTGAGTTAGATGTATTTCTGCCTAATACAGGCGGCGTCCCTCCCTCCAGCCACTGTGGTTTGCTCTGTTGCCAGCTTGCCCCCGGGTGACTTGGTGGCCACGAACCCAAGGCAGGCTCCCAGCTGGTTTGGTCGAACACGTTTCTTACTCACGCCTAGGGAAGCCCTGGCACCAACCTCACGGAGATCTGCCTCACCATCCCCAACAGATGACTCCACGATGTGTTTGTGTTGCCACCGGGGCTCTCGTTCACCGGCACCCAAAGAAAGCCCTGACGGTCCCCTGGGTGTCGGACGCGTGTGTCTTGATCCAGCGCTCGTCTCCCTGCTCTCAGCTCCTCGGGGTCCCTGTGCTCCGCGCCACTGTGTCCTCAGGCTTCCACTGGAGATGAGACAGATGGAGAGAGTCCTATGAGAACAGCAACCGTTCATGTCGTTTATATCGCTAATGGCGCATGGACCACGGCTCGACATGGCTATTCTGAACATTTCTACCTAAGTTAACCAGCCATCCAGCCCACCTGGCGGGGCCACAGAATGGCAAAACAAAATGGCCCCCCACCTGGCGGGGCCACAGAATGAATGTATTCTCATTCATCCCCTTGTCTGCCTATTCTTTCAGAAGTGCACCTCCTGGGGACCCGCTGCAGGCCCTAGCAATGCGCAGGAGGGTCCCAGGTCCCTGCCCGCAGTGCACATGACAAATAACCGACACAGGGCTACCGCACCTGCATGAAAAAGCACCATGGGAGGAAAGAGGAGGAAGACAGTACCAGTCCTGTGGCTCCCCGAGGAGGTGGCTGCAGAGCCACACCTTCAGCACCTACTCACGGAGAAAGAACACAGGTGGGAGGAGGCGTGCAGGGGTGTCTCGGGAGTGGTGGTGTCGGGGGACGAGCCCCAGGAAGGCTGTACTAAAGACTTTGGACTTGATCCTAAGGTCAAAATGAAGCACGGAAGGAGCCGAGCCGTAGAGGGACTGTCACATTTGGTGCCTAGGGATGTCCCTCTGGCCTCCGGTTAGACATGGGGTGGGACATTTGTCGTCACCTCTGCTCCTCCCGTAGCCCCTCCGCAGATGGCGGTAAAGATGATACATGCATGTCTCACACAGAACGGAGGAGCAAGACAAGAAAGCAGCAGGAGGGCGCAGTGAACCGAGTGTTGGGTGGCAGGACGCAGACGGACAGGCAGTAGCTGGCCTTACCTTCGTCGCCCGTGTGGTCACAGCCCCCAGCCTGTCCAGTGCCCTCGGGAATTCGAACAAGAGAGGGAAGTACTACAATACCAACTGGAGAGTTTTTGTGATTTGTGGGTGAGGGCCCAGCAGTGTCAGCGTCTCTAGAAACGGACTTCACGGGTCAGGAAACTGAGGCCCACATAAGTTATCTCCCCAAGGCCCCATAGCCTGATAATGGAGCAGGGATTCAGACCTGTGCCTGTAAAGACATGAAAAGATAATCTCTTCTAATTTTTATCTTTAAACGTCTATTAATGAAATAATTATTTAAAAGTCCCCCCTTTTGGAATACTACTCAGCCATCCAAAAAAATGAAATCTTGCCATTTGCAACGATGTGGATGGAACTAGAGGGTATTATGCTAAGTGAAATGAGTCAGTCAGAGAAAGACAATTATCATATGATCTCACTCATATGTGGAATTTAAGAAATAAAACAGAGGGGCGCCTGGGTGGCTCAGATGGTTAAGCGTCTGCCTTCAGCTCAGATCATGATCCCAGGGTCCTGGGATCAAGCCCCATATCGGGCTCCTGGTTCAACGGGGAGCCTGCTTCTCCCTCTCCCTCTACCTCTCTCCCTGCTCATGTTGTCTCTCTATCTGTGTCTCAAATGAATAAATAAAAATTTTTTTAAAAAATTAAAAAAAAAAGAAAAACGGGATCATAGGGGAAGAGAGGAAAAAATAAAACAAGACAAAATCAGAGAGGGAGACAAACCATAAGAGGCTCTTAATCAGGAAACAGGGTTGCTGGAGGGGAGGGGAGTGGGGGATGGGGTAACTGGGTGATGGGCATTAAGGAGGGCATGTGATGTAATGAGCACTGGATATTATACAAGACTGATGAATCACTGACCTCTACCTCTGAAACTAATAATACATTATATGTTAATTAATTGAATTTACATTAAAAAATTTAAATTCAACTAATTAACATTGACTTAAAATCTTAAACACATGCTCATTTAAAAAAATAATAATAATAATAAATCCCCCCTTTAAAAGAGAATTGTTGGTGAGTCTCCCAACTCTTGTCCTTTTTGAGGAAGGATGGCAGCAGTGAAGGGAGCCAGGCTCCCAGCAAGTTCTCTCAGGAGTCAGATCGATCAAGGAAATGCACATTAAATGACAAAACCATCTTACACCCACCAGGTCGGCAAAAATGTTAATACTGCATACCAGGGGCTAGTGACTGTGTGGATTAAGAGAGTCCTGGGTGCCTCAGTCAGTTAAGCATCTGCGTTTGGCTTAGGTCATGATCCCGGGGTCCTGGGATCGAGTCCTGCATGAGCAGAGAGCCCGCTTCTCCCTCTGCCTGCCGCTCCCCCTGCATGTGCGCACTCTCTCTCTCTGACAAATAAAATCTTTTAAAAAAGAGAGATTCATTTCCTGCCAGGACTGTCAATTGAGAACATTTTGAAGGCAATTTGGCTGTATCTGCTAAAATGGATGAGTTACTACCCATTGTAACCAGGAAACATGACTAGAATGTCCATAGCAGCACCGTTATAGTAGCAAGGTCTGGAGACAACCCAGATGTTTACCCACAGAACAGACGCACAAATTGCAATATAGCTGTGTAGTAAATATTATGCAGCAGGAAAAAGGAGTAAACTGTTGTACAAGTCAGGACGAATACATTTCCACAAACATAGTGTTGAGAAGAAAAGAGATTACAGAATACATGTGATAACCATTTGTTTAAGTTCAAACACATCCATCACTTAAGGACACACGTATGAAAAAAAAAAAGGACACAGGTACAGATGTGGTAAAACCGCTCAGCGTTACCGGTAATGTTGTGTGTCTTAAGCAGGGTGGCCAATACGCGGCTGCTGACATTATTATCACTCTTTGTAGTTGATACACATTATAGATCTGAATCCTCAGGGAACTCAGTGGGAGCCTGGCTCCCCTCACTGCTGCCGTCCTTCCTCAAAAAGGACAAGAGTTGGGAGGCTCGCCAACAATTCTCTTTTAAAGGGGGGGGTTTTAAATAATGATTTCATTTGTAGATTTTTAAAGATAAAAATTAGAAGAGATCCCACTAATGACAGGGACACCAGTGAGGCACAGGCAGGAGAATCCGCGGCTGGGTGGTGGGCACAGAAGTAAACGTGGTACCTGGCTTCTCACCCATAAGAATAGCCCACAGGCGCCCGGCTGGCTCAGCTGATAGAGCATGCGACTCTTGATCTCAGGGCTGTGAGTTCGAGCCCCATGTTGGGCACAGAGCTTATATTAAGGGGGAGGTGGAAGAGGACCACCACCACCCTCATTAGGCATGTTGTTGTGTTTAACTCGCTAGTAGTTCCAATTTGCGCCTTGCGTGGGGTCTCAAACTCAGGACCCCGAGACCAAGAATCATATGCTCCACCGACTGGCCGGGTGCCCTGTGCTGTATTTCTAAGTGAAATGCAAAGTTGCTGGAAGGGCTCTGAATATACAGGCAGCATGTCATCTGCTGCTACGGTGCTGATGAGAATAACGTGAAGTCGCTTACAAACTGTTCTTGTTATACAGCCCTTAGCGGCTCGGACTCTGAACTCTGCATTATGATTTGCCACGACATATTCATTGGGTTCAGGAAAACATTGACACGCTTGTCTGCCCTAGCTTCAGAGAAGGTACGAGGGTCTGCAATGTGTGCAAGCTTCCAGTAACTCACTGGGTGCTCAGTTCCATTTCATAATGCACTTGGACCCTAGTTGATCGGTCCTCCAGTGAAAGACCTTAGAAACTTACTAAGACAAGTGGAACCTGGTCCAGCTGTCCCATCCCTACCCCCGTTTTTCCCGATGAGGAAACAGACTTCAAGAGGAAGACCCTTGCCCCCAAATCAGCAGAGGTGGAACAGAAGAGGGACAAAGAAGAAGACACGTCCTCTCCCTGGGGGCTCTTAAACGAGGAGTGGGCTTTTCCAGGCAGGTGAAAGGGAAGGGCATGGGCCAAGATGTGAAGGAGCAGAATGCTGGGGGGCAGGGGGGACACTTCATTGCGGGGTTTGGAGGTGAGGGGAGAAGCAGCAGGACCAG